AGGAATTAATTGATACTTACGGCGATTTATATAATATAAACTACTTCCAGGCTATTAATCAGCGCCATCTAGGTATATAAAACGGAATTTTGACCTTTTCAGACCTACGTACGATCTGTATAAATATTTCTCCCGGCCCGGAAATCGAACGCGGGACCTCTACGTGACAGTCCTGCGTTCCCGTTCAGCCACAGAGGCAGTTAAAAGTTTTCACATAAAATTTTTCTAATGGTCATTTGAAAACTCACAGAGTAATTGCACTTTGATAAATAATATAATTTTACGTATGTAGGCGGTAAAAAGACTTGCCTGTTACATCCACTTGCTCTAAGCTTAAGTACGTTAAGTCATGGAGAAGCATTGGTGCAATGCAAAAGACACTAATACATTTATCAATAATACTTTCTTAACGCAATTAAATTAACTAACTACTTATTTTAAATATAATATAATTTGTTTAAATTAATTAAATTAAATGTAAATTGATTAATTAAGACGTACTTTAGTGCAAGTGGACATTATTCACTGTACATCGTTTATTGTGTTAAGGGTTTAAACGACTTTACAGTGTGGACTGCTTTTGAATTTTTATTTGTAGAGCTTGTAGTTGTTATTGTTAGTTACTCTATGGTCATGTAGAATACTACCCTCGTAACGAAAAAAGGCACAACTATACGTACTTTATACAGCAGTTATGCCGCTTTTTCGTTCTGACGGCAGAATATATACTCGTACATAGCGCTAAATTTGACTGATATTTTAATTAAAATAAACACTGAGCGTTTACATTATCACAGAAATGATATTATCTGGATCTGAATCACATTTTATGTATATTTTGATATTGATAAAGGGGGCCTTAGGAGATTATTGCAACGCAAAATCGCATGTCCGATGATAATTTAGTATCAGCAACGTCGAGGCCTTGGAAATAGCCATTGTTTGCCCGCCCTTGTTTCACAACGCGTTTTGTCATCGTAATTGCTCACTTTTATCTTACATATATAAATACATACTTATTCTTTATTGTACCAAACAAATACAAAAAAAAAATCAATTATAAAAATGGTGAGAAAAGGTGGACTCATCTCTTAAATCGATCTCTTCCTGCCATCCCAAAGGAGTAGGACAAAGGTCATAAACGGTGCATTGTAAACTAACAGATAAATAAAAATATCTTACATAAGTAATAATACTACGGGATTATCTTGTGGGATAAAGAGGCAGATATACAAACCATATTTGTGTTGCAAAAACGGCGGTTCGTTCTGTGTACCGTTTAGGTTCTCGGGTTTCTCAGAGAAAAGTTTAAGAAGACTGGTATCATAATTGTGGCATCGCAGTACATTTACTCAAATACTTTGTATGCCCGTAAAAATGTACATAATTTCTTAAGAAAGAAGATATCAATTCAATTCAATTCAATAATTTATTGCAAAACCATAATGTACATAATAAGATGTTACAAATGTAGTGAGACCAGTATTATGGGCCCTGTCGGGCACGCAACATAGGAGCTATATATATATCCGTAATATTAACCTTAGAACTTAGTCCAAACTCATGGGACCACGATTTCGTTTAACTAAGGTGAACGATTCTTTTATAGGGAACTGTATACGTTTTTACAATAAGATTCCGGAGTATATATTAAAAATATCCTAAGTTTAAAACTTACATTAAAAGTATTTTAATTGAAAAGTCATATTACAAAATTGAAGACGACTTCTTAGATAAAGCTGTACGGACAGACGACACGAAATTTTATTCAAAATGTATTCTATGGCATTTAAGTTTATTTGAAAAGAGCAATCTCTAGAGACTCTTGCTCGTTCTTCTCAGGGAAGTCAACTTAGTCAACGAGCAGTAGCTTGAATAATGACGTTTTCGTCGTTCGTTACGTTTACTAACGGCAAGAACTAAAATCTCTAAAATATATGAAATACGTAGTAAGGAGATACGTACTTGCTTACGAGTTTTTGACTTGTCTAAACACGATCTCGTATGACATTTTTTCAAGTTCATACGATTATTTGTTTTGAGTGCGATTATTGCCATTCCAGTTCGGAGATTACTGCGTTATTGACAATGGATATATAAAAATGACGCAAAAATCATTCAAATTTGGAACTGCTGATAATATTAAGTTCATTGGACTGTACAGAAATGTATATATTTTTTAATTTTATAACATTTCTTAGCCCAAAATTTATTTTCGTTCTCGTTTTATTAATTCTTGTCTTAAAAAAGCAGTGATAATCACAATAACCTTGCGCACTGCACTCATATTAGCGATTGACTGGCACAAAAACTCAAAATACGATTATTGCTTTTAAGTTCTGTGTACACGTAAACGTTCTGTGTAAACGTTCAATAGTCAAACGCGAGACGACAAGGGCGATAATCGCGAATATTTAGACGTGGAAAGATTTTTATATTCTTTCGATAATCGTATCTTCGAGACGAGAAACTCACTTCATCTAAATGGGCCTTTATTCACTAGTATGACTCAGCATATGCCTAAGTTCTCTAAGGCGCTAGTTTTCAAGCAGAACCAACAAGAGCTATTAAATCTGGAAGTTATTTGTAATGATAGATCTAACGACTAGGAGGGAAATCGTTGATTAAAAAAATAAATATAATAAAGTGTGAATAGTGCATCTAAAGTAACCTATTAATATGAAAGTGCATGTGTGGATTTGAATATATATGTAAGTGTAACTGTAAATAAAAATAATGATTGTGTATATGCTAATTTAGAAAGGCTACGAAGAGTACCTACATGGGGACATGAAAACTAATATTAATATTAAAATTTAGACAGATTTTTGTAACGAGAGTAGGTATTGCCGGTAAAGTGCTTTATACATATTTGTGTTTGGATGACTTGTCCCCTACAGGCGGTGGAATATTATTCCAGAAATTGTTATGGTATGGAATACATGGTGACAGTCGCAGTGCCCCTAACATCTTTGCGATTTAAAGTTCTGAGTGACGCTGCAACTGTTATGGACAGACGTGTCGCTTACCACCAGGTCCACAGTTTAAAGGATCTACAGTTTAATTAAATGGGATTGCAATTTCTTTCAGATTGGAATGTTGCGAGACGGCCAGCTCTTGGCTGAAGACTCACCCGAGGAAATTCTCCGCAGATTCGAAGTTGACACTTTGGAAGAGGCCTTTCTCCAGCTGGCCCTAAGACAGCATCAGCTGCCAAGAAGAAGGTCCAGTAAGTCGTACATATAGCATAGTACGTAGTAAGCAGCGGTACCCCAAGTTAATTCTGCATCAGCGTATGGTGGTTTGAAACAGACCTAGGATAAATTGTAAATTCAAAGATCAAATACAAATAAAAATTTCTTCGATCTTGCTGAACTCGAACCAGCGTACTCGCCATACTGTAGCTGACGCTCTCCCAAATGAGCTACGGGACGAACTATCAGACATTACGAAATGCTCTGGGATTGCAGATCATTGTGTTTGATTTTAACGACTTTTTTGTGATCTGTGAGAAATCCATGAAAGTTTTTCCTCACTCAGCCAGGTACCTTTACTATAATGCCATGGTAGTAAAACAACGTAATATTCAATAAACTTTTTTCTATTTTTTATTATACTAAGTGACGGAACGAACAAAGCGTGTCTGGTAGTAAGCGACACGCCTGTCCCTAACAATTGCAGTGACACTCAGAGCTTTAATCTCACAAGGATCTGAGGGGCACTGCCACAGCGCCCAATACCCTGAGACATAAGTTGACAAGTCCCACGTGCCTGTAATTTCACCAGCATACTTAACCTTCGAAACCGGAACGCAGTAATGTTCACATTACTGATTGGCAGCAGAAATAGGTAAGATGGCAGTACTTCCTTGGACGCACTCTTTCGCAAGGACCTCTACTGCTGCTACTACCTAATATTAAACCAATGACACATGTACTTTCTTGTAACAAAATCCAAGCCTCCAAAATTTTCTTATAAAATGAATTAAGTTACTAAAGATCTGTTGTATCTTTCCAGCCCTAATGGGATCCCCAGACGTGATCCCAGAAAGCCGGATTCCAGCAGTGGACAGCCGGTATCAATCGAGCGAATCTTTCAACATGGTCACCGGTAGCACTGAAGTAAGTTTCATTTTTAGATTAGGTTATTTTTCAAAAAAGAAAGGCAAGAAAAGCGAAACACAAGAAACGTGAACGTATCTAAATAGGCTTTCACGATTGTTACACATAAGAAATGAAACATTTATTCCGACCTAAATCATGTATATTAAAAAAACAAACAATTAAAGACACAAAAAATTCAAACGTAAACACAATAATAAATAATTACAAAAATTATTACAAACAATACAAAAATGAAATAAAATAAAAAATTAAACACAGATTATTCACATGAAATAAGGACGCTAAGAATCTTTATACATACTATTTTGTAAGTAGCAAGTATAAATTACAACATAAATAAAATAAAAATTTGAAAAGCTGATTATATATTTTAACTTTATATGCTTCTTTAACCACAAAAGTGTTCAGATCTTGAGACTATGGCATAAAATTTGCCGTCGAAGTCCTGACAATATAAACATTGTAGTATTAATTCAACTGCCTCCGTGGCCGAACGGTTACCATGCTGAACTTCGCAGAGATCCCGGGTTTGATTCCCGGGCTATGAGAAATATTTGTATGGCCTTTATTTATTTATCTCGTGAGTTTAGGTGTAATTTGTGGTTATCTACCTATCTGTGTGTCCATGGCACCCGCGATACAGGGTTTCCCTCGTGCGGGTCTATGAGTGTGTACATTATTATTATAATTATTAACATGTTTTTCTGTATTTTTTTTGACTTTCTTTTTTTTATTATTATTATTATAAGTATAATTGTAATCTTTTCAGGTTTTCACCAAAAAACAATCATCAATAGATAGTAATAGTAAAAGTAGAACCAAATCAAGGTACAAAGCTGTATTTATAAAGAGTCTGCAACAATTTGCCAGACATCCTGGGTAAGTTTATAACAATAATATTTATTTCTTTTTTCACTCACAAAAGCACCTTAAGAGTTAATTAAATCTATGGAACATAATACAATTCTGTAACGTCGACTAATTAAGTGTGTGACTGGCGCCCGTGGCAAGTTTGCAAAACCTGGGTTACGGATCGCCCAAAAAAACAAAACAAACAAAAAACTGCTTCCACTGCAGTGGTTAGTGATTAGCTCCATTTGACACAGTGATTAGCTCAATTTGACAAGTTTATTATATTGCATAGACTTTTGATATTTTTTTTATAATATCAAGTGAGGGAACGAACAACGTGTACCTGACGGTAAGCTACACGCCTGTCCATAACTGTTGCAGTGCCACTCAACGCTTTAAATCGCAGATCTGAGGCGCACTGCCATTGCGCCCGTCACCCGGAGACATAAGTTGACAAGTCCCATCTGCCCAGTGGCAGCATTTGCAGTCTTAGCCGCCCTAAGCCCCAGGCCACGTAGTCAGTACCAGCCGCCGCTTTCTCAGCGCTGATCATGTACTGGTAGACTGCATAATGATTTTTTTTATTACTTTATATTATTATAGGTACTTTGAGCTATTTCTTGTCATCATCAGTGATTTTTTTGATCACGATTGGCTGCCCCTAAAATCTGGCCCGGGCTTACTGGGCCTCGGGACAAATCCGCCACTGCATGTGCTTGTAATAATGTAATTTCAAAGTTAATTCGTTATACATTTTGAAATAAGATTGATCGGAAGAAATCTTTTTATTAGTTTAAATTTGTTAGACCAAACCTTTCTTTATATCCGAGTATGTCTCTTATTTCATTACCTCTTTTTTTAAAAGATAAAAATATTAATATTTTTATACGTGTTTTACAGAGGTTTAATATTTTCGATCCTGTTCCCTATCATCCAAGTGGTTGCGTTCTTCTCTGCTGTGGGCCACGATCCCAAAGACTTGAATGTGGCTGTGGTTAATGATGAAGCAGCTTATTCGCCTTGTAAGTATTTTTAACGTTATTTATAAGCGTAACTAAGACGAATTACCCTTAGTGAAGGAAATAATTATTGCCACAATGCTTTTAAATGCACATGTTTCATCAGGGATGATTATATAAGCTCGGAAAAATATAGGATTCCAACACAGAATGCAGGAGCGCAGCTACGCCTGACTAATTTCAAATCCCATCCCATTATGCGTATGATTGTGTTTATATGATATCTAGTCTCTCCGCACCCGGTCGTGCTAGCCCTACAAGGGGTACATTCAGAAACCTTACGATAACTCAGTTGTCGACCGATTTATTTTCATTTTTATTCACAACACCCGAATCGTACGTCAAACTGTCGTATTCGAAACCGAACCGAAATGACGTCACAACCGTACGATTACTCGAACTTCTCGCCCGGCAAAGGCTACAAACGTTGTTCAGAACACAGTTGCCGAATGAAAGTTACCGAACGTCCTAATTGTTTACAAAGCAAGAATGTAATACGAAAATAAATAAAGTTTGGATTTTGTTCAATTTTATTAATTTATTTTAATGCAAGACTAAGTAATGCATTTCTATATTTTAGGCCTTTAAAGTCTTAAAAATGTATATACAACGATTTTCATTTTTCCTATAATCGATTTCACGGACTAACTCCATAAACGCCGTTGGATAACAGTATCGTATCCGAATCCCAATCGAACGTTTAACTCGGAATGTTCTGAACAGCTCGGAAAGCGCCCTTCGATTTGAGAACGATATCCAATCCAACGATTCGGTTAAAATATCGAAGAGTTCTGAATCGGGGTCCAGGTGTCAATTATTTATCTATGCCTACAAATGGATTGTCCCGAATAGCTTACTTAGAGCGTCT